CTCCTTCGTCTCTCCTCCCACCTTTCATCTGTGTATGTGTGTACGGGATCTGGGCATCGTCCATGCTTGGCCCAGACCCCACCATCTCACGATTGTATGTGTGTGGAGTGATTCTTGAGTCAGTCTATGTGAGTCAGTCCGTTTATCAGACTTCCGCTGCATATATGCTCATCCTACATTGGTTGATCTTTGGTTCTGCCCATACTCCCTGAAGTATGTAACACCCCGCCCCCGATCTCAGTGGTCTGTGCGTTGATCCGCGCGGTGCTCGTTGATCCGCACGGTGTTCTTCCTGATCGATACCGCGGTGAGCTACGCAACTCCGCTCTTGATTATTGTGCACGGTGACCCGCGCGGTTCTCATCTTGATTGATGCGCGTGACTGATCAAAATGCGCAGTGGTCCGCGTTATCTCCCGCCGATTAGCTCGCCGGTATAGTCTTGGGCCCATTGTGGCCAGAGTTCCAACTCTACCTTTACCATCCCCCCTCGTCGAAATGAATTTAGACAAAGAAAAACAAGCCAAGGAAAACAAAATTTTAATCACTCTGAAACAAATAGGGTTGTGCACTGAACTCCGAACGCATTGTTCTCCCTTGCGGTCATGCCCTCAGCCCAAATCCGTCGTTGCCTCCGAGACACAATGGGCCTTGCTTTTGTGCATTTCAAGAGTAGTGCAGCGAGGCCCAATGATTCAGCAGGTCCGCAATTAGTTCGAGCCCGACTCCGTTTCCGTCGTTTTTCCTGTGACCGCACTATCGGCGACCTCGCCGCCCGTTAGTTGATCTGTAATGTTGGGTCCGAATATCCCAGTCCTGGCCCTGTTCGGTATGGAAAAAAAATCCTTGATCTGGTCTCACTTAGGCCGAAATATCCAATTAAGTCCTACTGGGTACGAAGATCCTGATTCTGGTCTCACCTGGCCTGAAAATTGTGACTCCGCTTTCACCCAGTCCGAAAATGCCAGATTCGGTTTCCGCATGGTGCAAAAGTTTCTCGGTCACACTCAGTCCGATAATCCTGGTCCCTGTTGTACTCAATCCGAAATCCTTGGTCGTGGTTGTACTCAGTCTGAAATCCTTGGTCCCCGTCCACCCGCTGGTCCGCCCGTCAATCTGGGGACTCTCCCGGCGGCGATCCCGACGCCCCGCCCCCGATCTCAGTGGTCTGTGCGTTGATCCGCGCGGTGTTCGTTGATCCACGCGGTGTTCTTCCTAATCGATACCGCGGTGAGCTACGCAACTCCCCTCTTGATTATTGTGCACGGTGACCCGGGCGGTTCTCATCTTGATTGATGCGCGTGACTGATCAAAATGCGCAGTGGTCCACGTTATCTCCCGCCGATTAGCTCGCACGACGATCCACCCCTGTTCCCGCAGCTAACATCATTGACCGGTATGATGATGGTCGCGATATGACTGATGAACAATGTGAAAAGATCGTGCTTCCACTGATGATGAAGAACTGTGCGATTAGATCACGCTCTTGCTGATGGTGATGATCTGCATGGTAGATTGCGCTCCTGCTGATGGTGATATCCACATGATGGCGGTGATCTGCGCGGTCGGATCACGCTCTGGCTGATGGCGGTGATCTGCGAGGTAGATCAAGCTCCCGCAGATGATGATGAGTCGTGCAATCAGACCACGCTTCTGCTGATGATGACAATCAGTGTGATGGCGGCAATCCGCGCAATACCGTTGATGTTCCTCTGCGTGATCTCATTGATGGTCCCCTCTACGCGGTAACACGCGTGATGATCCTCTTGATTATGGCGAGCGGTGATCCGCGCGATGATCCTCTTGATTATGGTCTGCGGTGACCCGTGCGATGATCCGCGCGATGATCCTCTTGATTATGGTGCGCGGTGATCCTTTTGATTATGGCGTGCAGTGATCCGCGTGATGATCGTCATCGGTGTCTTAGTAGCCTGTGCGCTGGTCTCGATGGTTGATGGTCAGCTCGATAGCCTGCGTGTCGGTCTCGATCGTGATGATCTGCTCGCGTGGTTCTTCGCGGTGATGATCACACGCACTCTGATCTAGCTCGTCTAGGTGATGATCTCTCTTCACAGTGATCATCTCACTCGGGATGATCTGGCTCTTCGTGGTAATGATCTCACTCGCGATGTTCCGACTTTTCGTGGCTATGATCTCACTCGCGATGATCACGGTGATCTACATGGATCGATTCCTGATTAGATTGCGCGGTGACTGCGCGATTCTTCTCCCGATTGGTGCGCGTATCTGATGGTGATTCCAGGTCTGCTCTGCGTTCTGTCATTGATGTCCCTCCGCGTGGTGATCTGCGCATGATGTGCCCGTTGACAACGATGACGGTCGTGCGCCAATCCCATCCCTTCGGTGTGTAACGTACGTGTTCGCTTGTACACACGTGCGCGGTCCTCGTGTGCTTAGGAGCTGTCCGTGCCACGTACATGTCCCTTCGGTCCGTAACCCATCGGTAGATCGGCCAGTTGTCGAGAACCTTGCAGCGCCCCGGTACCGTCCCTGCAACTAAACCAATACGCGAGACTATTTCACCACCGAACAAGCATGAGTGGTACCAAGGGACCCGCTGTTGGGAAAATGAAGCACCCTGGTACGACACCTCCTCTCCGGGGCTAGATTTTAGTATCCCAGCCTAGAATCTCCAAATGCCATGGAAAATTATGGTTGAAACCCTTCACCCGGATCCTTAGGTCCTCGACCTTGCTGACAATTTGAGGTCACGACTTGCGAGACTCCGGTTGATCGGCGAATAGCC